ACAAGAATTGTTAAAAAGATTTGTTAGAAGATGAACATCGTTATAAGGAGGTAAAACTAAATTAAAAGCATCAGAAAATTTAACAGCAGTAGAGGAATTTATGATGAAAGAGCTAACCACATGTCGAACAGGAGAGAGGGACAAATGAAAAGACAAGTTAAACAGAATACAGCGATGAGCCGAAATGAAAATGTACTCAGAACAAATAAAACCAATGTTTAATCCTAAAGTAAAAACAAGGTCCAGCGTCAGGCGATCATAGACTAGGGCAGCCAACACATCAGCGACAAAAAGCGAAAGCAAAAAGACCAGAAAGAACAGCACTAAATTAGAGCGAGACAAACTACAGCGGCAAAGCCAAACACAGGCACCATACTGGAAAATCCAGATTCCTCTGTGACAACTGACTTCCTTTACTGGTGGTTGGTTCGAGAACAGAGGTCTTATTTTTCCTGCTACCATCAATCTCAATGAATCCAGAGCCAAACACGAGTTTGTTCGTGGCCAAGCCAGAGCTTTTGGGATCTAATGCATTGTTAACATAAATCTTTTGACACTAAAGAATTTGTCACTTGAACCTAAATTTCCTTGTTTTGGGAACAGTTTTCTGTATCGGTCTTTCTACTTACATGTAACTTAAAACACTCGTATGTTTGGAAGGAAAATTCTTTTTTTTTTTCCAAAGCTGCTGTCCCAGCACCTTAACACTGACACTGACTTTGTGTTAGGACTTAATTACCGGAGAACTGTGATATTGGTTATATGACCTGGATCTGTACCACGCCATCTTTGTTTTCAGTGATCACGCTCTGTTTGAGTGTTTGAGATTTTGTCTTTTCCAGAGAAATATTTTGCAAATCTATTTTATGATATATGAAAGGAGATAAACTGTATCCAAACATTGTAATGAAATACATTTTTGCACGTTAATCACTGTGCAGGTAGACCCTAGAAGAGTCGCCAATCAGTTGTAGGGGTTACACAGACAGACAACCAGTCATCATATTCACACCTACGGACAATTTAGAATTGCCAAGTAATGTAACTCATGCATGTCTGTGGACTGTGGGCTGAAGTACTCAGAGAGAACCCATGAAGGCACATGGAAAGCAAGCAAAGTCCACTCATATCACGATAAAACCTCTAAAGGAATTATGACTAAACTTTTTTTAATTACATTTTTTATGTACCTAAAATAGCTTGCATTAGTAATTCTAACATTCATTCATTTGTGATCAAGGCACTGAACCCTGGGTTAAGGCTTAGTTACTACAGTACTGTGATAGTGGATACTGTGACTGTTGTATGTAAATAACTGACAATCTTAAATCATAACTTTAGCTCAGTGTGATAATGATAAAGTGAATTGCTGGTCAAAGGTAACATGAGACCTGCCATTATGACTCAAGAGAGATTCAAGTTCCACCTTTATATGATTATGAGTTTTTTATCAAGTCTGAGGTGTAAACACGACTGCGCTGCTCCTATTGGCTGCATTACTTACAGACCTCTTGCTTAAAGCAGTGGGTGCAGCAGTCATTCCAATATGATTTAAAGCAACCTCCAACCTGTGCAGGTGTACTCTGCCTCTCACCCTTTACCAGCTGGAAAAGGCTTCAGCCCACCCTCCAATCCTGAGTCGGATAAGTGGAAGAAGATGGATGGATGGACACCAAAACATTTTTTATATAAGCATTTTTACATAGGTGTGTTTCAAAAACGATCTGTGTGGTAAATAACTATTTTATTTATTGTCTTCGTGAAGAAATATGGATCTAATTTTTCTCAACTGCTTAACTGCTCTCATTCCCAGGTGATCAAATACAGCCACCGCATCCAAACCATCTGTGTCTCACAGGTACACACCAGGTAACTCTTCCTGTCTATAAAACATTTGTTTGTTTGCACTGTTTAAATGAGTAATTGGAAACGGCACCGTCACACTGGCATGGTGGAACGCAGCGCAACAGACACTTCAGAAGCGGTAGGACACGCGGATTCACTCTGTGTATTATTGGATGTTTTGAACACAGTTTGTAAGTGTCACCGCTTGTCCATTGGGGACATTGGTTTGATCTGCGTTGTGTGCGTGCGTGTGCTTGATTTGGCAAGCTGGGGTCTGTTCTTCGTACCTCGCTAAGTAAGTTAGCTGGATTTGATTGTTGACGATTTCGCGTGATCTTGGATCGTTCGGTTCTCCGAAGCTCATCCAGGACTTGCTGTCATAGCAACAGATCCGTAAGCGTAAACCTGCTTGGGAGCAGGCTTACTTTATGTAAACAGGATTAGATCGCGGCCACTCAGGTATGTCCGCTTCATTTATACGAAAGCAACAGCGATATTTTTCCACTGTTTTTCCATAAATAAATATTATCAATGTAACTAAAGATAATGCAGTATTTGATTCTTTTATTGATTTCATACAGATACATACATTTCCTAAAAAAAAGGGAAATGTACTATTAATCATTCTATTTCATGTATTTGATTATTTCAGATGTAATTCATATTTTAGAGTAGTAATAGTAAATTACTTCGTGTAATCAAGATGAGAGACCACGGCTATAAAAGCGAAGGTGGATTTGGGAAGTCTGTCGCAGCCATGTCCTGTCCGTTTGTACGCGAGCAACCCATTGCGGAAGGTGCAAGATTGATAAGGAGAGCATTCAACCCTAGGGCCAGCTCCTCTGCCGGGGTGTGACGAGGGGGTGCAGGACCACCACCTGTCGTTTTTGCTCTGCCCTTTTCTTGGTTGCTGTTATAAACAAAAACAGATTATTTCAGGGTCTCTTTTCAAGAGACTTTACGCAATATAAGTGATAAATATTACCATTCTGTAGAATATTCTTATATTTCACTTTTACTTGTTCCCATGTTCTAGTGGGTCCTGTTGTGGCCCTAATGTGACAGAGGATATAATATAATATGATATAATATAATATAATGTAATATAATATAATAAATTACTTACGAGTTTAATTTGTCAGCAACTTTCTGCCAGCCCTCTCTCCTTGCTTTTGCAACCTTTGCAGTGTTCCCTTGCGTTTTAATTAAACTCTGAAACTCCTGAAATCCCTCAATCAAGAGTTCTTGCTCTGCTGCCGAAAAATACTGAGCGCGCTCCTTCGACATTTTCGCCGACCAATCAAAGGGTTGCCGATCAATGTTTCTACTATCGATGCGTAGCCCCCTTTTAAGCCACCCAGTGATCTCACATTACTTCATCCAGCTGTACTAATCGTCAACAACAGGTGTGTTCGGAGAACCGGAATAGCGAGCTCAAAGTTGGCGCGATGATTTGATCTTGGATGTAGTAAGCGAGGTACGAAGAACGGACCCCTGTTTACTGCTACCACACACATTGGCTGGCAAGTAGGAATGTGGTTCTCAAACTGGTATACGTACAAAATACTTAAACATCTTTTTCAGATATTCAGTCTCTTAGACATCAGTGTACAGATAGGAATAGACAAATATGATTCATGTAAATATGAACACTACAAAATATAATCCTAACCCTGTGGATACACAACTACAGTATGACATGAGATATAAACACAGAATCATGGCCAAACACATAGAAATGAATTAGATCATAGTTATTCTTTTATGTTTTAGGCTATTGTTAAATAACAATAACAACAAATTAACTTCTTTCAGCTCTCCCCAACAGGAAGTATAGGTTGGGGAGAGAAATAGAAGAACTCCCTATAGAACTGATATCGACTGTAAGAGCCAAAGTCAATGTTTATGTTTTGCCTTTTTGTTATGGTGGCACAGGTGTGTAGCTTTACCTGCGTCGCAGGTGATGGCATGTGGGTGTGGTCACAGTCTATTTACCTGATGTCGGTGTTCGCAGCAGGTGTTGTTGGGTGAGTGGTTTGTGGGCAAACTTTTCTGTTGACCGTCATTTTTTGGCACACCAGTTAATCCATGCGCTATTTGTAAATTGATTGAAAGCGCAAACTTTTGTTTTGTTCTTAAAATAAATGCGCAAAGTACAAGTACGACTCATTATGGATTATTGGAGGCGCGTCACAGGGACACAACCAACTCAGCCGGCCGCGGCTTTATTTACGGATGAAAGTCGCAACATCGATAACAAAGCCTACAGTATAGCATTGATAATGTCTGAAACAGCTTGGAATGAGGAGCTGGGGTGGGATTGGGTGAAAAGGTGTTTTTTCAGGTTTGGACTCAGCAGACATCGTAAACAAGTAGTTAGCTATAAGTCTCTGAATATAAGAACAGCTTGGACCCCACAGAAGACCATCATTATTCACTGCCCGGTGAGGCGTGCTATAAGAAGAAATAGAAAATGCATCAAAATATTGCTCTGGATTCATACTAATGTATAAAAATTGTGTGCACAGACAATACAGGAAAGCCTCCATGACATCACCAACTGGCTAGAAAAGTCCTGTTATGAAGCCTGAGCTGAGCATTTTCACCTGCAGGGAAATAACACGTTCATTGGTTCATTTTTTTATTCAGTATGACCTGAATTTATCAGCTGATCCCATAAACCCACAAGGAAAGTATTTACTGAGGTCAGAGCGAGGGAGCTGAAAGCCGTTTTCCTTCCTATAAACATCTGTACAACTGAAAGTCTTTTTGCGCCCTCTGCTGGCTATTAAAAAGAATGCAGATTTCAGGCAATCCCACCTTGGCTTCACTTTTCATTTTCAGAAGCTAGATCCAGTTTTACAAAAATATCTTGTAGAGTAGCATAGATGTTTCATTTCTTTTTATTTACATGCCTTATTGCAATCAATAAACTGCATAGAATCTACTCAACAGGTCTTTTAGCTGAAACTGGATCAATAGTTCTTTTGGAACAAAGCATAAAGAAATGAGGGTGTCACTCAACAGTTTAACACATTATATTATATTATAATTTTTTTATTTGTTTCATTCACATGAAACTTTATGGACAGTGTGTAATTAGAGAGAGTAAATACTGTTTAATTATTTTCTCCTGTTTCCAGCAGAGCGACGTCATGACGACTGCAGCAACGTCTGGTGAGTCAGAAATATGCAGCTGCCTTTCTGCTGTTTTCAT